TCGAGTCTTTTCACCAAATTCTTCATTCGAAATGAAAGCAAGCTCAGCTATCATACAAGACATCCCATCTCATGCAAGATGGTAGATATATTTCGACACCCACGTGTTGATTCTAATGAAAAAATACAAGTCCTCTTCATCGACGCTTAGACAATACGTGTGGAATAGGGGAGGGGTGGCGGTTTGCTTACAAATTCGCATCTGCCCTCTGACACACTGGCACACATGATAGTTCGAAACCCACGTTGTCATTGCTATTTGACTAATGTTTTAACATTCCTATTGCCTTTTTGAGTTATATTCCAATTTTTATAAGCGCCTAAAAGGAATTTTGATCATTGTCATTTCAAACTCGATGCCTTTCGGACATTTTCTGAGAAAAATCACGACCAACTGTCCAAAATCTTTGCACAGGGCATTTATATTTATAATCCGGCTCTATCCATTGGCTGAATACGCTAAAACAAGCCTTGACCTTACTTTAATAACGTTCGCCATTTTTTCGAACCTCTCTGAAAGGATGCATTAAAATTATCGCACTGCATTTATTTTTGCAGTTTATTAACTTATTACTTTGATTGAATCAAATAGTCAGCCTGATCTGCCCAAGCCGACTAAACAGCATAATGTCAACTTGCCTTCGCCTCTGACTGAGACTGGTTTCGAAAACAGATTTGCACCATATTCTTGTTAGTTTAATACCGATTTTATGTTAGCATGCCCGTTCCATAAAATCATTCATAAGCCAAGTTAGTTTATTAAATTATTTATTTTATTTTGTCGCTTCACCTGGATCTATGAGAAGCCGACATCCGCATTTTTCTCTTGAATGTGATGGGGGAAGAGGGGTAGGAATAAATGGCAGACTAGGCAGTTGTCATCTTGTCTATCCAGCCCCGGAAATGTGACACACGTGTGAAGAGTCCGGGAAACTTGGACGGCTTTGTTGCATGTGTAGCTGAAGCCACACCTATCAGGTACCAGAGACCTTCTCGATTACAGACCAAACCGCTGCCACTATCGCCCTAACTCACCAGCATTTTTAGGTTTTTTGAACAAATGAGAAACAGAGAAAATAATAATTGAGGCTTTATACACGAACCTTATTTAGAGCCTTTAGAATACTGATAAACTTAATTGGTGTAGATTTATTTTCGATAAAACATTCAGTAGTATCAATAGTATCGAATATCATACTATAATATTTGAGTATAATAATTTTATGAGAATGCATTAATATGTATGTTTGTGTTTGTGTATACGTGTGTGCATAAGAGGTCTGGCAAAAAGTCTGTTGTGAAGGCTGCAGACAACAAAGCTATTGGCTATGATAAGTATTTTGTGCAAGCCTGTCAAATGATCTAAACTCCTGATAAGCAAGGAAAGCCTAACCATTTAGCCTCTATTCGACACCTGAAATAGTTCAAAGGGAAACATTTGCAAGTTAATGGGATTTGATCATCATTATCATCGTCATCAAGTATATTGCTAAGGCCAGCATTGATCAAGGCCTTCCGTTTTTTAGCTAGCTTTGACTAAATTCAGAATCTAATAATAGTTTTAGGGACCATTTTTTTGTCTATTTAGCTCGAAACGCTAACCCTTAGACTAATTATGATAGGGACGATTAAATGGTCACTTCGTCTCAGTATAAATTGCGATGTTTCATTTGCCGGTAGATTCGTGTCCTCCATTTAATTCAGTATTTTCATACTAACGCAATTTGCCAATTAAGCCACAAAGATCTTCTATTGGATGATGCAGTATCAATACTTGCAACACAATACCAATTGGCTACCAAATGTACCATTAAAGTTGGTAAAAGCTTGACTCCGAAGAGGCTCTTCTTGTTCAGACCAGCCAATAATTAGAGCTTATGCAAAGAGGATGGATACGTTTAGATGCTAAAGGCGTTTAGGGAAAACCAAATTCAGCTGGATTAGCATATCCCTCAAGCACACCGATCCTCCATACCTACCGGACAGATGCCCAGATTGGCGTTGTAGTAGCCAGCACAGAATTCGTGGTGCTCGTTCAGTCCGGCATTGTGCTGGTACATTTGAGAACAGTCCTTGTTGGCCACCACCTGAAATCTGGCCATCTGAGCATGCGTGGAGGGACCTCCGTCCACACGAGTGCATCCCCAGCCGACCAAAACACAGACTTCACCTGCTTTCGGCCAGTTTTCGGGCTGCACCGTCGGCGGCAGGCGAACGGAACTCACCTCGATCATCCGAGCCAAGTCCAGGGGTACCGATAGCTTGATGAGGGCGATGTCCCACTCCAAGTCATCTTGAAGGAATGATAGAAGAGTATGCTTAAATTTGCGAAACATTAAATTACCAATTTCCCTCGCTCATCTGCCTTAACAGAAATAGCATTGATGCAATTTCTCCTAACTGCACACATTGCCAGCGACCTTGTGAGATCTTTCCGAATGGCATCGAGAATCGAGTGCATGATCCAGATTTGTGGTACAAGTCGGAAGGTGTTGCATCGATGCAGTCAAGCCTTATGTTCAGTCGAGGGTAGGCAGGGCAGATATCCCTTTCTGCACCCAAATCAGGTAAACAATGCTAAACAATTAGGCCAGATATATTCAACATCCCCAAAGAGGAGAATATCAGTGTCGCTGAGCAAAAGATCGTCAAGAAGACTATGCCTTTGGCTAAGGCCAAAGTTGTTGGATAAACTGCCAGACAAGTGTTTTAGAGTGTCTGGTTAGCGATGCTTTGCCATCAGAACTATTGAAGGAAGATAACATTAAGCAACAACTTCAAAGCAGCCATTGAAAAAATACTATATTTGGATAAATTAGGTTTAGGTACCAACATAACATGTTGAATAAGAATTCCGATCACCCTTTGTCGGAGAAGGTGATTAAGGTCAAATATTTGAATATTTCCACAATAACATGGAGTGGGCCTCAAGTCTCCACTATACTTTACTTAGTTTAAGGGTCGAGCTCATCTCCATTTCGAATGAAAGTGTTTTGTGAGAGTTGAAGGGAGTTCCGTTGTAGCTCCGTTGGCTCCTTTTATACTTTCACCTGTTCATCATACTGGGCATACTGGGCATTCCTCGATTTGCCTCGCCCCAATTCCACTCAATCCGTGCTGAATATACAAGGAGTCTTTGGTAACCGAGATAATACTCGCCAAACCAATCTTGAGGAAAATATTACAAAATGCGTAAGCGCCAAGACTGGGATGTTATCATTCAACTGATTGCCACCTTGCCAAACTTGCCGTTCAATCTGTCTACATGTTGGGAGTCAAGACAGCGGATCCGGCAGGGATCCACTCAGGCTATACCGGCATGGCGGCTAGTTCATGGCAGGCGAGCTAGGCTTAGATCCTTCTGTTGATCCTTCAGGCTGACTAACAGCTTTTTGATGTGGTGAAAGTTAATAACTTGCCTCTTTGACGATTTTTAGTGTGGTGCTAAGAATGACATGACTCACTGACGATACCGGCGAAACGTCTGGAAATGTACCGCCTCCACAGTCCGACTCTGGAAATGATCATGTATGCAATGGACTCCGGACAAGGTGCGCTCCTCTTAGTCATCCTGCCAATATGACCAAGTTGCGGAAAAAAAGGTCAAACAACTTATATACAACGAAAGGAGACTGCAACCACACAAAATGCCACACCATTTTGGTCTTAATATCTTCGATTAAACTAAGATCCTTCGTTTTTCGTTTACAAGTAGGATTTCGAGACTACCAGTAAGTTAACTATATGAGATGTATTCACCCTATTTTGTTTGAGGGGAAGAAGGACTGGTAGAAGAAGAATTTTTCCACAATGATATGAGTTGAGCTGACGTTTCCATTGAATTTCACA